TTTCGCGTTGGGCTGCAAACCACAAGGACGGTAGTTGAAAACCACCAGCCACTCCAGGGAGAAGGATGAGACTTTCCACTCCCTTAAAGAGTTCCAGTCTCAGGCACCCACAGGGATAGTTCTACCCTGCCCTGCAGAGTGGCCCTGAGCCAAAATGAACATGATGGCAGGTAGTTTGGTAGCTTCATACCAGGACTTTGGACCCGTCAGGAGTCGCCCAAGCAGAAGTGGCTCTACCAAGGAGAAGAGGGGTGTTGGAAAACAAAAGGTGACCTCACTCTACCTGGCCACACCCGTTTCTAGCCCTTCAGTGGTGGGATGTACAGAGAAATGAATTCTATAGAGCTGGTTTTCAGATACCAACAGAGAAATGGGTTAGTTCTTCCTGTGGTAAAAGCAATATGCAGATTTCTGGTGAGACAGGCAGATTGCTTAGAACCCGTCCCTGGCCGTAAAAGCAAGAGTGCCACTGAAGAGATCACTTTGTTGGGACATTTAATGTATGTATAAAGGGATGATTGCTATCGAGTAAGAGTTGTTGGAATGTGGTAGTTGAAGTTGAAGCTCATTTCTGCATAATGTCTCCATTTTCCATCGGATACAAGGGGTTTCCAAAACTCATTCTCTTTTAATCCATTTTCCACAAACTTTGAAGGCCCTCATATAATTAAATCAGTAGTCACTTTTATGAAATCAGTCTGCCCTGCCCAATGATACAACAGTCAAAACACAAACTTCCCCGGGCAGAACTCTGATGTAACCGTCCGTAAGAATCTATGACTCCACCTGCTAACTGCTGTTGCACTGAAGTTGTTTTAAATTTGAGCCACCTTTCACGGAGGTAGCCGAAAGTATAAACGAGCTTGTTTCTTAGAAAACGAAGTTTTTTTTTGGTTTTTTTTTAAACATTTTATTAGGGGCTCATACAACTGTTATCCCAATCCATACACACATCAATTGTGTAAAGCGCATTTGTACATCGTTTCTCAAAACATTTTCTCTCCATTTAAACCCCCGACATTAGGTCCTCATTTTTCCCCTCCCTCCCCGGAAAACGAAGTTTTTTAAAACGTTTTAAATAAAACAAAATGTTTTTTAAATAAAAAATTTGTCACTGCCAATTTCTATTTGACCCAAATACATTTTTTTATTTAAAAATTCTATTTGCACGTATGTTTACCTTGGATTCGTGTAGGAACATTATAATTGGAGATTGCTCTTTAAATCAAATATGGGGATCTCTGGCTTATAACACACCAAAATAAATAAGTAAACAAGCAAACCAAGTTGGTGGCCATTGACTGGATGGCAACTCACAGTGACCCCGTCAGGCAGGGTAGACCTCCCCTTGTGGGTTTCCGTGTTGTAATTCTTTAGAGGAGTAGAAAGCCTCATCTTTCCCCCTGCGACGAAAACAGGAGGAGTCTGACGATGATGGTCACATAGGCATGGTTCCATCACCTTATGTTGTGTTTCCTGTTTATCAAATAGTTTATTTCTGTCATTATTCTATTGGATTGATTTAAAAATATACGTTTTCTCTGTTTCCCTGTCATCTTTGAAATAGTAACATTTGCCCAGGATTTTGTTGATTTCCCATAGGTGTTGATGTCCACATTTAATGATTTTTTTTTTCAAATTTTTGAATTAATTCAGTACTTCAATTGTTTTCAAGAATGTTGTCTTTACTTACTGAAAATCTCCTTCAAGGGTTACAATTTCTTATTTTTTAAAAGTAAGTAACATTATCCTTTTATATATAAAATAATTATGTTTTACCTCATAGGTGATTACATTTACCAAGATGTGTTATTGAATTATATGTTATACATTCTTTTTATATGGTTGAATTACTTCTGGGTTTACTTTTATTCTTACTGAGAAAAAAGTTTTAATCATAGAGTGGCGATGTGAATATCCTTAATTTGTAGATCCCGGAATGGATTGTTTTGTTCTCGCTCATGGAAAAGCATCTTGCAGGTACTTTAGTTTATGATTGTCTTCCTATTAATACGCCAAAGATATTGTCTACAGACTGCTGGTTGAGGAGAAGACGACTTGAATGGATGAACTGTCCACAAAAACATAATTTTCTTTTACCGCTGTACTTTTTATATTGAACCGGATAGAGGTATAAAGAGTACATCATCAATCGCAATCCCTGCAATGATACGGCACGTATTCCTCTTTTCCCATCCCTTATTTCCAGTTCCCCTCCTTTCCTAAAATTTATCAACTTTGTCCTTGATAAATCCTGCCTTTTAAAAAGCTTAAATGGTTTATTATTGTAGAGGTGTATAATGTTTTAGTCTTATTGTTTCCATGTAGATTTGTCTATGGTTGAATAGGAGCCCTGCTGGCCCTGTAGGATAGATGTTGGGTTTCTAACTACAAGGTTGGTGGTTTAAACACGCCTGCCACTCTGAAAGAGAAAGGTGAGATACCTGTTTCTAAAAAGATTTAGAATCTTGTAAATAATATATAGGCTTTCTATGATTTGAAATTGGCTTGATGACAGTAGGTTAGGTACTGAGGTTTATGTTTGGCTGAAAATTAACCCATAAGAGTAAGTTCATTTCCAGATTTGAAGGGTAAATCAGGGTCAAAGTCTTCAGGGTTCCAAAAGTCTTTATCCAACATGTAAATCCTGTCTTTTAACCAGTGGTGTGAGTGGCAAAACAGGGAGGGTAAAGGGACAATGGGTAGGAAAGAGGGAACCAATTACATGGAACTGTGTGTGACCTCCTCCCTGGGGGACAGACAACCGAAAAGTGGGTGAAGGGAGACGTCGGACAGGGCAAGATATGACAAAATACCCATTTATAAACTATCAAGGGCTCATGAGGGAAGGGGGAGTGGGGAGGGAGGGGAAAAATGAGGACCTAATGTCGGGGGTTTAAATGGAGAGAAAATGTTTTGAGAAACGATGTACAAATGCGCTTTACACAATTGATGTGTGTATGGATTGGGATAACAGTTGTATGAGCCCCTAATAAAATGTTTAAAAAAAATGATTTTCAGCTGTGTTCCACTTGTCTCCCCTCTATCCAAGATCTTCTAATGTGGTGGCTTTTAGAGCAGTTGTTAGTGGCAGACAGGCACAATCTGGTTGGGACCTCTGGGTCAAGGAAATGGATTATCAGATGGCCCGTTAGTCTATTGGACTAACTGTATCCATGAATCTTGCGTCGTCTTCATTGTTTTTTCTTCCAGATGGTGGAAATCCAATAGTTGCACCTTGCACGGCTGCTTGTCAGCTTTTAAGACCCCAAACACTACTACCAAAGTAAGATGTAGAACGTGTCATGGTGAACTGTGTTACTGGCACTTTTTCAGTATTTTCTCTTTATTCTTGTTGTTGTAGTTGTTGTTAGGAGCCATGGAGTCGGTTCTGCCACAGAGCGACCCTGTGCACAACAGAACAGAACTCTGCCTAGTCCTGTGACCTGCTCTTCTTATGCATGAGTCCACTGTTACAGCCACCGTGCCAGGTCAGGCTGTTGAGGGCATCCTTGTTTTTCGCTACTCCTCTGCTTTACCAAGTATGGGGGCCTTCTCCAGGAACTGGTCTCTCCTGACAACAAGTCCAGTGTACGTGAGATGAAGTCTTACCATCCTTGATACTAAGGAGCCCTCTGGCTGCACTTCTTCCAAGACAGACTTGCTTGTCCTCTTGGTAGTCTACGGTACTTGCAGTATCCCTTGCCATCAATTCACATGCATAAATTCTTCTTTGGTCTTCCTTATGCAATGCCCAACTTTCACATGCATGCAACGCAACTGAAAATACCATGGCTTGGGTCAGGCAAAGCTTAGTCTTCAGGGTCACATCGTTGCTTTTCCACGTTATAAATAGATGTGCAGCAGATTTATCGCGTGCAACTCAACTTTTGATCTCTAGACTGCTGCTTCCATGAGCATCGGTCATGCATCCCAGCAAGACGAAACTCTTGGCAACGTCAATCTTTTCTGGACGTTCCCTTTTCTTGACATTCCCTAAGGGTCAAGTTGTGAGGATTTGGGTCTCCTTCACAATGAGTCGCAATGCACGCTGAAGCCTACAAGCCTTGATCTTCATCCGCAAGTGTTTCAAGTCCTCTCCACTTTCAGGAGCAAAGTTGTGTCATTTGCATACTTCAGGTTCTTAATAAGCCTTCCTCCAAACCTGATCATTCATTCTTCTTCATGTACTCCAGCTTCATTGATGATTCGCCTAGCATACAGATTAAATATGCATGGTGAGAGGGTGCAACCTGACTCACACCTTTTCGGATTTCAGACCATGCAGTAATCATTTATTTTGGTCACATAACTACCTTTGATCCAGGTACAAGTTTCCCATGAGCACAATGAAATGTTCCAAAATTTACATTTTTCTCAATGTTATCCATAGGCTGTTTTGATCCACACAGTTGAATGCCTTGGCATAGTCAATAAAACACAAGCATATTGCTAGTCTTCTCTGCTTTCAGCCAAAGATCCATCTGACACCAGCAATGCTATCGTGTGTCCTGTGTCCTCTTCTGAGTCTGGCCTGATCCTCTTAATGCCAGAGAAAGTCAATTCTATTATTACCTAGCAGATACTTCTTAAGAGAGAAATTTAGCAATGCTTTTGTTTTCAGGTTGATTTCAACTCATGACAACTTTGTATTACATAGTGAGACCTCCCAATAGGATTTCAAATGCTATACTCTTTAAGGAAGCAGATTTCCAGAGCTTCTGGTTGGTTCATAGTGCCGTTAACAATCGACGCATAAATATTGTGTGCCGCCAGGTGCCCTAAATTAAAACACAGATTCTATTAAAGATTTAAAAACTTGTGAAGCTCAATAAATACTACACAACTTATAGGCCAACAACATAGATTTCAGAGCTGTGTTAGACCTATAAATCACTTATTGTGTTCTCTGCCATAAATTCACACTGAATAATGAGCATTTTTTTTAACATTTTCTATTCCTCAGCTTTGATCTTTCTTCATAATCACATTCCATTTATCACAAGAACATGAGGAGCAATGAGACGTGGATCACAGAAGTCACCCTGCTGGGCTTCCAGGTTGACCATGTGTTGGAGGTTTTCCTCTTTGGGATATTCTTGCTATTTTACATCCTCACCATGATGGGAAATGGGACCATCCTGGGGCTCATCTGGCTCGACCCCCGACTGCACAGCCCCATGTACTTCTTCCTGTCCCACTTGGCCATCATTGACATGTCCTACGCCTCTAGCACTGTCCCCAAGATGCTCGCAAACCTTGTGATGCAGAAGAAAACCATCACCTTTGGCCCATGCATACTTCAGACATTTCTGTATCTGGCTTTTGCTGTGACAGAGTGTATGGTGTTGGTGGTGATGTCCTATGACAGGTACGTGGCCATCTGCCACCCTCTCCAATACACCATCATCATGAACTGGAGAGTGTGCACTGCTCTGGTCACCACTTGCTGGGTGTTCAGCTTCCTCTTGGCTCTGGTCCATATCACTCTAATTCTGAGACTTCCCTTCTGCGGGCCACAAACCATCGACCACTTCTTCTGTCAGATCATGTCAGTATTCAAGCTGGCCTGTGCGGACACCAGACTCAACCGGGTGGTCCTCTTTGCTGGCTCTGTGTGTGTCCTGGTGGGGCCTCTCTGCCTGGTGCTGGTGTCCTACACACGCATCATCTTTGCCATCCTGAGGATCCAGTCCAGGGAGGGACGCAGAAAGGCCTTCTCCACCTGCTGCTCCCACCTCTGTGTGGTCGGGCTCTTCTTCGGCAGTGCCATCGTCATGTACATGGCCCCCAAGTCCAGCCATTCTCAAGAGCAGAGGAAGGTTCTGTCATTGTTCTACAGCCTCTTTAACCCGATGCTGAACCCCCTGATCTACAGTTTGAGGAACGCAGAGGTGAAGGGTGCCCTTAGGAGAGTGCTGTGGAAGCAGCGATCAGTGTGAGGTGGTTTCAGTGTCCTGAGTGTGTGAGTTTGGTCCTCATGATCCCACGTTCCTGCATGCCCCTTTGAGCTCCTGAATTCACCACCCAAGGGCTCTGCATCTTTAGACCACAAAGAAAGACAATGAAACTTACTGTTAAGTCGTTGTAGGTGTGATCTCCTGTCATTTGAAGATGAAGCTATCCTCCATGATTCAATCTGCATGGATAAAAATGGTTGTGCACATGTTGTTGTTAGGCACTGTTGAATTGTCTCCATCCCATCGCGATCCTGTGTACAACACAATGAAACACTGTCTTGTCGCGAGTCATCCTCACCATTGTTACTCTGTTTGAGCCCATCGTTGCAGCCACCGTGACAGCCCGTCGTGTTGAGCACCTTCATCTTTTTCACCAGCCCACTACTTTACCAAGCGTGACGCTCTTCTCCAAGATCCGGTCTCTCCTGACAGCCCATTCCAAGTGCGTGAGACTAAGTCTCAACGTCTCATCCTTGCTTCTAAAGAGCATTCTGGTCGTCCTGCTTTGTTTCTTTGTAGACGCGTTTGCTCATTTGGCAGTCCCTGGTATTCTCAATATTCCTCGCCAGAACCACAACTCCAGTGCATCGACTCTTTCCAGCCCCCCCTTATTCAACATTTAGTTTTCACATTCTTATGAGGAGACTGCACATGTCACAGCTGGGTCAGGCACTTAGTTCTCATAATAACCCCCCTGTTTTTCAACACATTAAAGAGGTCTTAGAAAGCACGTTTATCCACTGCAATATCCTATTTGATTTCTACACTTCTGTTCCCGGGAACATTGGCTGTGGATCCAAGCAAGATTAAATCCTTGATAATTTTAATGTTTTCTTCATCTATATGAGTATGTGTATTTTCTTGGTTTTATATATATATATACATATATACATGCATATGTGAGTGTGTGTATATTTTTCTATATGCAAGAACTCAGAAAATATAGATGTATGAAATGCTAAAGAAAATAACTACCCTGTTTCCCCGAAAATAAGACAGTGTCTTATATTAATTTTTGCTGCCAAAGATGTGCTAGGTCTTATTTTCAGGGGATGTCTTATTTTTCCATGAAGAAGAATACAGTACACATTTATTGTTGAACAACAAAAATGGAAATTTATTACCTATATACGGTACGGTAGTAGTTGTGGATCTTCTTAAAGACGGTTCACTTCACTGAAGGAAATTATCCAGCCAGTGTTGTGATGCTTTGAAGTTTTCAGGGGCTATGTCAAACTGTGGTGCCATTGCAAGGGCAAATTCTTGAATCCGAGCCCTGTTCACAACCAAAGCCTTTTCTCTCCTGTCAACAACCCATTCAAAGATCAGATCTTCCAGCTTAGAAAATAATGGTTGCCGACCTGATCCACAATTACACTTTTTAGCATTTCCCTTGTCCACTTTTCAATGAGGTTACCATACTCTGCTTGCCATTTTCGGGCCAATCGGATACTCAACATCTTCTCTTTGCAGAAAGCAGTAAGATTTTGGCCCAAGAGTCTTCCACGATTCCTTTCTTGTACTCCATGGAGTAGCTTTTTCTTTTGGGGCTCATGTCTAGGGCTAAAAGGAAAAATAACACTGAGGTATCAGGGTGGGGGGAAGGGGAATCACTTAAAATGACACAGGAGGATCAGAGGGGGGAATCCAAATGACACAGGAGAATCAGAGGGGGGGATTACCATTTTGTAACCTCTTCTGATCCTCCTGTGTCATTTTAAGTGATACCCCAGTGCCATTTTAAGTGATCCCCATCCCCGCACCCCTGTGCCAGTGGACCCCTCCACCAGACATCCCCTCCCACCCCTTTATCAGACATTTTCCCCTACCTCAGTCACCCCTGTGTGTCTACACAATGTGCCTAACTCCTGCCCCGCGCGACTCACTGTCTAATTGTGAGTCAGCCAGACGCCATCAGAGCAGAGCGAGCGGCAGGCAGCAGCTTGTCCTGGCAGTGGTGCGGGCTCTCTGATTAAAAGGGACCTTGCACTTCCTGTCTGCTCCAGCTTGCCTGCGGCCGACAGTGAGCTGCACGGCGGTGCCCACCCGGTCCAGAGTCCAGAGTTACGGTAGCTTCAGGGGACCTTATTATCAGGGAGGCCTTATTTTGGGGAGGATGTCTTATATTTCAGCGAGAGACAAAACTGTAAGTAGGTCTTATTTTCGGGGTGTTTTACTTTCGGGGAAACATGGTAGCTCTCAGAGAATCATGAATTTATGATTTTTTTTTAATTTGTGTTATCATGACTGTCAACATTACATTCACCCAGAGTGAAACCTTCACTGAACTTGTTTGCAGAAAACACAGTCTTAATTATATCATAATGATGGTCCCCAAACTAGCAAAAGAGCACATCCTGAGGTTTGGAGTGAACATGAATTTTGGTGGGGAGGGTGCACTGTTCAACTCATCATAGTGTGTATATGTAGGCTTGTGTACATAAAAAAGAGAGTGCAGACATGAATAATTTCAAGAAGGCCCTCACTTAGTGGCTAATGGTATTAGAAAATGCCATTTCTGTTTTGAACGACATTATGCCAGGATACTAGGAAACTCAGATGAATTGACGGTGTCCTAGAAATATGCTACATACATAAACAGAACCAAAAAGAAACCAGAAGTCGAACTCATCCAATAATACTATTAAAATTCAATCTGAATAAAGATTCTTCTCAGAAAACAAAATGGGTGTAGACAATATCATTTAAAAATATTCAAGAAATGCAGAATTACAGCCCTATGTAAATTCAATCTCAAAAGGGAAATAAGGTACTTATTTTCATCTGATTTTATAAGACTAAAAAACCTCCTTGTATATCAAATCAGAGATACACTTTATGAAATACAAAATCACAGTGTAATTCTATTCACCTACATCATAATGATGTTGTATGTATCACCCAAATACACGGTTGTTTAACATTACATCAATGAAAATATTCATCATATTAACCAATTAAGAGATAAATATCAGTATATTCGTAAAGAATTAGGCAAAATGCATCATTACTTCATCATTAACCTTTCTAACCTAGTAAAAACAGTAAGCTTCTTTAAGAAAAATTTACAAAACAACAAAAATCAAGGCATCCATCAAGCCTAATGACATAGTGCTGAGATACTTTTCTTTCTGAAAGTTTGATAGTTACACTTTGTGTCAACTCCGCTGTGTCAGGGTTCTCAGTGGTCTGGAAGTTAAGGCTGAATAATTCCCAGGTTGTGACTCAAATGCAACACAATTCACTCCATTTTGAGTCCTGCTGTGAGCAGCCAATCCATCAGTTGTAAGAAGATTCCTGTAGAATAAAACCCCAAACCAAACACGCTCTCCTGGAGTCAATGGTGACTCATAGTGACCCACTGTGGGTTTCCAAGACTATAACTCTGTATGGAGTAAACCCAGTCTTCTCCCATGGAGCTGCTGATGGTTCCAAACTCCCAGCCCTGCAGATCGCAAACCAACTCATAACCACTACATCACCAGGGCTCCTTCGGAGGGACCAGCCCTCCATAAAGGACAGCATGTTGGGTAAAATCGCG